AAAAAACCGTATTCGGTCGTGAAAATGGCTGGATACGTTCCTCTAAGTGCCAGTGTGATGAGGGTTACAATCCACTGAGGGAACACAGCCCGAACAGATCACGGAGTCAGATTGTCAGATCCCAAAAACAGAAGAAAAAAAAAACGGAAACACGCATTCGACCGTGAAAATGGCTGGATACATCAGGGTTACAATCCTATGAGGAAACACAGCCAGCGCAGATCACGGATTCCGCCCTGCCTCGTTGGCAGGGGACTCATAATAAACAAACGAGAAATAAAAAACGAAAACAACAAGTTTTAGAATGTGATCGTCTTTGCTGTAGGATGCATTCAGTAGAGGAAGAATGTGAGCACGGCCTCCTAGACTACCCTGCCCGACATCATTGCAGTGCATAAGCTTTTTTTTTTTTCCTTTTTCTTTCATGCGCAGGCGAAAGAAAACTAAGATTTATGGGACTTGCCGACCCTGGGCCCCACCACCGATTTCTTCGGGGACAGACCAGTACATTGTAATCTCCCAACACTGGCCGAGGTACCGGGGGCGACGATCTTGAGATATTATCATTGAGCTGACCGGCCGCAGGCAATTCAGAAATATTTGGTTTTGCTTATCAAGTTCCATCATCTGGATTTGAACACGGGTCTGTATTTCAACAGTTCAATGGTGTACCCACTGAGACTCTTGGGTAAAACGACAATTTTCTGTTTCTTGAAAAACTGGACCATCACCTTAGGGTACCCCGCCTCGAGAAACGAGCCGCCGGACGATGGGTGGAGGCCGGTCATCCTCGACCGAAGCGGTTCCCCGTGAGGATTCGAACTGTTGATCTGTTTGTCAAGTCAGGAACTTACACACGTGTGCAGCATTCGGGCACAGTGAGGGACAGATGAAGATTGTTGGAGAATGGCTGCAGGACGAATCGGCGTTGGCACGTGGAACTCTCAAGGAGAGCTCATGGACTCAGACGTAGGAGTGGTCATCACGGCTGGATAGGAATGCAGCGAACGCGAAAACAAGCAGTTTGCAAACTGTGAAGTCCTCCAGGGTAATGGAGTTAGTACATCCTGAAGCTCCTCGTCGCTGTCTCCATCCATCTACGAGGATCCAAGTTGTGCATTTGGCTTGACGTTCTGCTGCCTTCGATGTATCCTCCAGCCTCTCCATGTCAGCGCCACCATCGGAAGTCTATTTTTCAGACTCCTGTCCTCTGCAAAGCCGGTAGTCGATAGTGGGTGTATGGGGCTGCCTCAAGAGCAACGGAGTTCCGCAAAATTACTTCTTCAGCACTCGAGATTAATGATCCATTCATGTGTGAATCTGTCTCTCTCCTCCCTTCCCTCTTTCTCTTCTCTCTCTCTCTCTCTCTCTCTCTCTCTCTCTCTCTCTCTCTCTCTCTCTCTCTCTCTCTCTCTCTCTCACAGCCAGACTCACAATCGCATCCACACGTTATTCTGCGTAATCTAACGTTTGACTGAGCTGGCTATCCATCCATTCTCACGCCCAGGTGCATAGGATGCTCCCTCGCAAGGGCTGTTTGCTCAATCCCACGATAGCACTGGAATCAGTTTCGACACCTGCGTCCACGTGGCATGTGTGGGCGTGCACACGTGGCTCTTCCTCCTTTGCCGTCGAATCGCCAGCACGTCCTCGTCATAGTGGCGCCACCATGTCTGTTATACAAGTGGCAAACCGAGTCCGATTGGTGGCAGGGAGAGCAGCAACTGCTCCTTCCTCCTTCTCCTCATCCAGCCGGCCATGTCTCCGTCGGAGAATAGCTATCCCTTCTTGTTCTTGTTGTTGTTGTTGGTCCGCCGCTGCCGGTACAAGATCGGCGGCGACTCGCTCAGCCCCCTCCCTGCTGAAGTTCAACGACTTTAAAGTCCAAAGGCTTTCTGCACAGGGTAAAGCAGCGGGTGTCATCAGCACGCGCCACGTGTCACAACATCAACCGCTTGATCCGGGGCAAACGTTTTCACACGTTGATGTAATGACAACAACATGGTATCGTCGCGGCACTAATCGGGCGGTCGGGACACTTCCTCTGATGGGCTGGGCTGGAAGAGTGAGGAGTCGGGGTACCAATCCGATCGCCACCTGCGAAACTCATTTCCGTCAACGGTGGTGTGCTGCTTCTCTTCCTCCCATGGCACCACCTCCTCCTCCTCCTCCTCCTCCTGGCCCTTATGCTACCTCGTCTCCCCTTACTTCGCAGGCGAATTTGCCCCGATCATCTGTGGTCAAGATGACCATTCTACGGAAGCTCTCGTCTCACCACTCTCTTCGTTCGACATCACCTCTCGCTCCGCTCCCGTCTGTTCTTTTCGATGGGAGAATGCGCCACGTGGCTACGTCTCTTTCGGCACGGGCTCATTCCGACGTGGCACGTTTGGAAATGCCGGAGATGACGGCGGAGCGCCAGCGAGAGGAAGATGGGGGGGACGTCGAGCGCCGTTCTTCTACTTCTGGCACCCGATTCTTCCCATCCGGCGGTGGGAATGATAGCAAGAGGAGCAATCGTGAATCGCTAGATGGGGAAAACGACAAAAGCGGCGTGGGCAGCGCTGAAACGTTCCCGCCGCCGCCGCCGCCGCCACCGCCGCCACCTACTTCATCCCCTTCGACCCGTGTGTCATCATCCCCGCTGCTTGCTCGTCTTCTGTGGTCCCCCCCTGGCTCGTCGTTGCCATCGTCATCATCTTCGTCGTCAGGGGAACCTCCGTTCGCCGGCGGTGGCGCCGGCGGCGAAGGCAAAGGCAAACGTTATCAATCGGCCTTCGCCCAGCCGTCGATGACAAACGAGCAGCTCCAATCGTACGCTTCGGATATAGACAAGGACAAAGAGGTGAGGAAATTCTTGCGGTCTCTTGGCGTTGATGATAGCAAGATTACCTTCGATCTGAACCTCGACCCGGTCATTGTGAAGGAACGCGTTCGGTTCCTGGCCACAGATCTCCAACTCAAGCCCCGCGAAGTTGCTGACGTCATCCAGAGATTCCCGCCTCTTTTAGGTTGCAGTGTGGCGCGCAACTATCTGCCGGTGCTCAAGTATCTCCACGACATCGGCATGAGGCAAGACAAGTTCCCTGGACTTGTAATTAAGTACCCGAGGATACTTTACCTGAGCGTGGTGATGGAGATGATGCCCATGGTCGGCTACCTCGACGGGATGGGAGTGCTGAAACGCTATGTGCCCAGAGTGATCGAACGCTATCCCCAGCTGTTTGATCTGAAGGTTCACGAGACGATCGCCACGTCGACTAATTACCTCGTCAGCATCGGTGTGCCGCGTAGGATGATTGGCCCTATGATTACCGTTTATCCCCAGTTGTTATCCTATCGGGCGGGGACTGTAATCAAGCCGTTGGTTGATTACCTGCGTGGATTAGGTTTGACGCGCGATGACGTGGCCGAGATGATTTCCGGCACGCCGTTCATGCTCGGGTTCAGTCTGGACGGCACCGTACGGCCAGTGGTATCCCGACTCCTGGAGATAGGCCTGACGCCGGCGCAGCTGCCAGGTGTCCTCCGCACCTGCCCCCAGCTGCTGAACCGCAATCCCGACGATGTGTTTCCTCCCCTCCTGGAGTTTTTCGGCAGCATGGGCATCGCCGAGGGAGAAGACGGTGTCGGTCGGGTGATCGGTCGGGATCCCACCGTGCTGATCGCAGGCATCGAGAGGATGAGATCCAAGCTGCGGTACCTGGTCGGAAAAGAGGCGGGATTTTCCGCCGACCAGGTGGCCGTCATGGTGAAGAAATGGCCCAAAATCTTGTCGCTAGGCGTGGCGGGCTCGATCAAGCCGAAGCTGAAGTTTCTGACGGAAGAGATGGGTCGGGACCTCGACGCCGTGGTTGGCTTCCCGCAGTATTTCACCTACAGCCTAGATGAACGGATCGAACCCAGGTATCGACGGATGAAGGCCAATGGATTAGAGTGGCCGTTATCCTGGATGCTTGGGTGTAGTGAAGAGAGGTTCCAGGAGAGACTGAAGATGGGAATGCCACCTGCTGGGGTTATCGTGGACGGCGATGAGGCAGACGAAGAGGGAAGGAGGAGGAGGAGGAGGGTGAGTGAAACGCCGCCAACGATGTCCAGAGAACTTCATAATGATGATGATGAGGAAGAGGAAGAACGTGAGAACGTGGGCCGTGAAGACGAGGGCGAGGAGGAGGAGGAGGAGGAGGAGGAGGAGGAGGAAGGGGAAGGGGAAGAGGAGGATGGAATTGAACGACTGGTCGATGCCAACAGCTTGTTCCAGGGTAGAGAGGATAGAAGGCAGCAGAAGAGAGAGGACCGTGGAGGGCCGCCGGAACCAGTACAGCGCTTCCAGGAACGGATGATCAAGAAGCTCGTAAGAGCCTATCGACATGGGATGAGTGGGTTCGTGTGGGAGGAGGAGAAGGAAATCAGGCCTGGTCGGGACTTCGTGTCCGGGGCGAAACGCAGAGTGCGGGGTCCTGGGGTCAAAGACGATGACTTGGGGGATGATGACGATGCTGACGTGGAGTATGACGAGAGTGATATGGAAGATGAAAAACATCATGGAAGACGATTCGCGAGGAATGACGATCGGTTGAAAAAGGCGGGAAAAGGTGGCGATCGGATGAAAAAGGCGGGAAAAGGAAGACAGGGAGAGAGCGAAACGTGGAGTGCAGAAGGTTTGGCCAAAGAACGGGAAAGAAGGGGTTCCATCGGCGAACAGGGAGGTGTAGGAAGAGGAAGGCGAGATGATGAGGAGCGAGAGCATCGGCGGCGCGCAGCGGCGACGGAGGCAGAGGAAGAGGAGGAGGAGGAGGAGGAGGAGGAGGAGGACAATGTCGCGTCGGCATCAAGCGAGAGCCACGTGCAATTAGACGAAGAAGGAGAGGAAGCGGGAGGAGGAGGAGGAGGAGGAGCAGATGTCAGTGGTAGTGGGGTTGTCAGGGGGGTAAAGGAGGAGGAAGAGGACTTATGGCAAAAGCTTCTGGGGGGTATTGATTCCTCTGTCGCTGAGGAATTCGAAGCGGAGGAAAGGGCAAAGTTGCAAAAGGCTAAGTCGAGGGATGTTTTCAATGATGGATTGGAGGATTATGTCAAGGACAAGCTCAAGGATAAGGTTAAGGATAAGGTTAAATCTGCTGGTAAGGCTAAGGAAAAAGGGGTCTCCGATGGGGTTATTTCAGCGCGTCAACACCTCCGTCACCTTGGGCTCTCGCACGAGCAGACTGCGGCTGTGATGGAGGCCTATCCTCAAATCACCACCCTTAGACTTAAGAATGCCATTCCGAGGAAGGTCGCATTTTTGAACAAGATTGGAGTAACTGGGGAGGAAGTGGCTGAGGTGGTGAGCAAGCTCCCTCAGCTGCTGGCTGCTGACGAGACGAAGCTTCTTGCCAAAGTGGAGTACCTGAGGAGTGTCGGCCTGAGCGGCAGCCAGGTGGCACGTATGATCGTGGGGCATCCCAAGATCCTAGGAGTTAGCTTAGAGGAGGGTTTGAAACCCAAGTTGGATTTCCTGGTCAACGTCATGGGACGCCACGTGTCAGAGCTTGTCGTGTTCCCGCAATACCTGACCTTTGGTCTGGACGTTCGAATACGCCCAAGGCAGGAAATGGCCAAGGAGAGGGGATGGGAGGGAAAGACTCTGAGCTGGTTAATAGGCACAAGCAACGACGCGCTTAGTACGTTCTTGCAGGGAGATAGGCAGACGGATCGGAGGGACTCGGTTGAAAGTACGGGGTAATGAAGCCAAGTTGGCGTCTTCTTCTTCTTCTTCGCAGCGCAGGATACGGGCTTATGTGCGCTAACCCGCCCTGGTCTCCCTCTCTCTTTCGTCTTTCTGGTTTGGCCAGACTTTTTCACGTTCCTTGCCGTTTTGCCTGTTCGTCTCCTGCGCTTTCAGGTGCGTCCTAAGTGAGGAATCTTGTGTTTGGGTGTGCATGCTCGATCGTGCTTTGTGTGTGTGTGTGTGTGTGTGTGTGTTGTGTGTGTGTGTGTGTGTGTGTGTGTGTGTGTGTGCGTGTGCTAGCGTGCGTACGGTTGTGTGTCACACACACACACACACACACACACACACAGACACACACAGAGAGAGAGAGAGAGAGAGAGAGNAGAGAGAGAGAGAGAGAGAGAGAGAGAGAGAGAGAGAGAGAGAGAGAGAGAGAGAGACCCAATTTCTGTTGTTTTGGCATTGGGCTTATTTTAATTGTATGTTGTCGTTTCGAATCTGCGTTCCCTGGAGTTGAGATGGGCTCCTCTCTCTCTCTCACACACACACACACACACAGAGCAGCATGTGTGCGTGTGTGTAGGTAAACACATCCCGGTACAGATCATTCCCTGCACGCGTGGACATCCAGGTACATTGTGACATAGGCATCAATGCACATGAGGCTAAGTGTAGTGGCGCATGTGGAATTTCTCGCCGCGTTCTCTGCGTGTGGGTTAGTGCTTGGCGTCCGTTGCCTCCTCCATGTCCCCCTTCGAAGGAAGATTAGTCGAAGGCGACTTTTTTCTGTTGGCGGAATGATGCATAAAGTCATTCCCTGCATGCCTGATATATACAGTGCTGTTGGCGCAATGATGCATAAAGTCAGAACTTCACCCCTGTTGAAAACAGAGAAACCATTTTGGCTAAGTAAGATCAAGTGTAGTATCTGTTCTGATCAGTTTAATATCTAATCCGTGGTCCATCGGACCACAAAAAAAAAAAAACAAAAAAAAAAAACAGAGAAACCTACACAACCCTTAACAAACAAATATATATTAAAGAAAGCAGGAGAAACCTGCCATCATGTAGAGAATGCATGCTGTCGAGATCATTCCATTGTGCATAGACAGGTTCAGTCCAAAGCTTGCATTACATCAGTAAGGACGTATAAGCCTGAGGTGTGAGATCCCTAATGATCAGAGGGCTGAGCAGAGGGGCCTGCTCAGCCCTGATTGAAGCCTACACTGTAGTCGGACGAGCCCTGTTGTACGGGAACTTGCTAGGCCTAGGCATTCTCTCTACCAGTCCCCTAGGGGGACCCTTCCTATCCCCCAACTTACCCGCTCTCCCCAGTGTATGAATCTAGATGTACACCCTAGATATCACAGACAGTGTCTAATCCCCTCCCCTAGCCAAAGTCTAACCCATGACATTCTCTGAGTGCGCGGTGCGTAGGTACCGACCTAGCACAGCTATTATCGATCGTTATAGATGTGCTGCTCATTGTAACTGGTATGGATTGTTCTCGTTGTGTTGTTCGTTATAACTGGTGCTGTTGTGATTGCGACCGGGAGGTTCTGGCCTTTTATCAGCAGATGTATGACCACCACCCACTCCTCTACCTTTAGACCTCCACCTAGACCCGTCTCTGGTCTGTTTTTTGTGGTTGTACTATCGTTCTTCTGATCGTTGTTGGTTGTATACCAACTGCAGGTACCCTAGGTAGCCTCCGTCATTGGCAGGTCCATGACCACCGTCCTTCCCCATACCTCGGTCATCAACTAGACCCAGCCGTTTATAGATGTATGTTGTTGTCACTCAAGACCAGCCCTAGTTTCCATCATCAGCACATACTAGGTCACCATCCGTTCTGTCATTAACTAGGCCTGCTCTGGTCCATTTGTCAATGTGGGAAGCAGACTATCCCACCACTATCTATCCCTAAGACAGCCCCTACTACAGGCTCCTCCCGAGTCATCAACCGGAGCAGCGCCAGTCTCGGTTATTGGTACTTACGACGAGGGTACCATCCCTCCCGCTCACCCCTGTCCCTGGCTGGGTCTACACTGGTCTATCCCCAGGAAGGGCCTACCTCGGGACTCTCCTGGCTAATATGTCCCACTCTGGGGACCCCCCCCCCCCCCAATCATTCTATCCCACCTGCAGCCCTGGCCCCCCCCAAAGCGAAGCGCTAAAGTAACCAACTTTATGTGATCAATCTCGTCGCAACATCCCTGCCTGCAACCCATCTATCTCTTTACGATGTGATCTGTCTGGCCTGATCGGACTCGAACCCTCAACCTCTTCTGTATGGCTCCTGGCTCCGACCCTGAACCTCTTCTTTACAGCTCCTGGCTCCAACCCTGAACCTCTTCTGTCTGGCCTGATCAGACTCGATGTTAGTGTAACTCAGGCGGCCTCAGGCCTGATCAGATTCGAACCCTGAACCCACTGAGTTACAATAACAGCTGGTTTGTTCATGCGCTGTACTAGACTGAGGGACAAGTGCCTGGGGTGTCAACCTAGCACCAATTAATTGTACGCAGGGGAGAGGCTGAGAGGTTGAGGGCCGAGAGGATCGAACCCGCAACCTCCCCGTTGCTATCCCAGAGCTTTAATCTCCACTGAGCTACCGCACCTTTCCTTGGTGTCCTTGTCAATTGTTTGCACAGGGCCTTTCTCCTATCCAGGAAAACGACAGAAGTGAGACAAATCTAGCACATGGAACACAAGTACATACATGGAAGAAAGAAATTACTGTTCTTTTCTTCTCCTATGCGCTAGATTTGTCACAGGGGCATAATTTGCAATTTTGCACACCGCACTCCGTTCAGACTGGTCATCTTCCTCACTTTCCGTTTATTCTTTATCCACATTCAAGTTGCCACAGGTATTTTGGCTCTTCAGGCAATACAGCCTTTTAAGTAGCTATCATATCATATAGACTGGGTGTCATACCAGTGTGTGTGTGTGTGTGTGTGTGTGTGTG